ATTTACTTTGTGCTACCACCTATGTGTTGCATACACCTCACATGTAAGAACATAATTCAATTAACAACTTCAAAATTACAGCATATATTTTTGAAGTCCATTATAATTGGACTAATTTTGAGAATAGATATAATAAAATTTGTAAAATCATGATGGCACCTGGAATAACGTTATAACTTAGGTTCAGCACCACACCACTGAAAGGTTGCTAATCCCCCTTCTAGAACATTCAATGTGAGTAACCAAAGAATTTTTCATTTTATTGAAAACAGATATATCAGCAATGTCTGACAATATAAAACTTTTGAAAAAACACATTTGCATGCTGTTGATCTATCACTTCAAAAGTGATCACAATGCAACAAAGCACACAATCTCATCTTCAAAGCAATCACGGGTGAACAAAAGTCAACCAGCTGTTTTTAAATGTCAAAGGCCCAATAGTGCAGAAGAAGGCAATGATCTGCATCTGTTTTGTCATCACAATGGAGCTACTTCCAACCAATATCACTGTCACAAAATAACTTTACTATGAACAACTGGATCATTTGAATACAAAGATCAAAGAACTTCATCCAAAAATTGAAGAAGTCAGATACTGCCACAACAATATGCCAGCAAATAGAACAAAGATAACTTAGAGAAACTGACCAGTCTGGGCTGGGATGTTCTTGCTTATCCACTTTACAGCCCAGACTGACTATTATCTATTTCACAACCTGCAGAACCATATTAGCAATGTACAGTTTAATGACAATATCCAACACTCAAGACTTTCTTCAAAGAAAAAAACTCCAGTCATTCTATGCACATGAGATTGGAAGTTTGCAGCAAGTTGGCAAGATGTAATTGGTACTGCTGGTGATTTGTAATCATTGTTGAGTTAATTGTCAATAAAGTTTATTTTCAAAATACAGTGGTGCCTCGTATAACGTATGCCTCGAATAACGGACGCTGCGAACAACGGACTTTCTGTTTGGCCGTTACATGACTCGAGCAACGGACTGGCTTCGAACAACGGACTTTCCGTTCGGCAGTTACGTGAGGCGAACAATGGTCTTTCTGTGAACAAGAGCTAATGACGTTTCCACTCTTTTGCCGTTGCCAATGACAATCTGCTATTTTTATAATATATTAGTATTATTAAAATATATTATTAGTATATCTGAAGTATAGAGCTCCCGTTGAGATTCGGCTTGCTCCCTTGTTTATTACGTACTGTACTGTACATCACCTCAGTGCAGGGTATTTACATTTATTCAAGTGTTGTGAAAATCTTGGCTTCTAAATAAACAGAAAGGTGATTTCAATTGAAACAAAGCAAGACATCATCAGAAGGAGTGAAAGTTGACAAAAAGTTCCTTGTCAAATGGGGAGAGGTTCAGGAGTTTACCAACACTCATTATCCAAACAGAGCTGAGGCCAACAGGATCAATGATCTCTACGATGACACCTTTGTCCGTCATTTCCGACAGGTGTTAAAGAAGAAAGAGAAACAGACCACCTTGGTCATGTTTTTCAAGAAGCCAGCGGGCAAAAAACAAAGGATGGAACAAGAGAAGTTGACCCTGCAAGTTCCGGTAGCCTCTCCTGAATCTGACTCCGATTAAAAAACAATAAAAAA